AAGCCTAAAACATTAAAAAAAATTGGGCTGGACAAAAAATTCAGATTGTAGACGGAAAGAGTAAAAATACGATTACAGAATTAAAACTTAATTTGGTGCCTCCCTTGTTAATATGTCTTTGTACAGTGCACAACTTGCGCAACATGCTTGCGGTGGCTCTGGACGAAGTCTTATTGTAAATATAATCAGAATTATCAAAGATTCGTTAATGCGTGTTGATTTAAACACATTGTATCAAAAATGAAAGAAATAAGAAAATATAAAAGTGACTTACAAGGTGATGCACAAATGTAATTCTTATATATATTTTTGTATATATTTTTATGTAAATTTTTTTATTCTAAATAATGTACAATAAATAGTCCAAGTTATCTCAGTTTGACAAAATCAGTGAAATCGTTTACTTCGAAATAATCAAAGTCTTATTTTAGATGTAATTGAAACTGTTGAAGATTCGCTAATGCGCATCGAATTTAATAAATGCGTCAAAATAAATGCGAGGAAGAAATAAAGAAATACGAAGGTGACTCACAAGGTAATGACCAAAAGTGAATGTGGTTTTGTAAGAATATTGTAGGAGAGCCTTGGCCTCCCTCAAAAACATTCAGAAATCCCTCAAAAACGGTAACGCGAAATCATCGCTTCGTTTCTTTCGACCTACGATTGCCTTCATAGATATATTCATTTTAACACGCAAAAATATAATAGAAGACTAGAGAGATAAGGTAATGACAGTTACTTTAGATATTTGTTGATAATTACAATACTCCGAAAGAACCTAAAATATTTAATATAAAAGTGTTAGCTGTAGAAAAAAAATTATAAAAAGACTTCTTTGCACACAGTCAGTTGTTTAATATTTAAAAATGCGCGATATTTTTATTTCATTATTTTTGTATTACACTGCGAATACTAATGCGTAATAAGTTACGTACGCTCTAATTAAATCTGCAATATTTCAAGCATTTCTTATCTACATTACAAAGTCATAATTATGACTTATAACCCCTTTCTTTTGATTATAAATTTTTTTTCCGATTCTCATTTTATGTAACACTTCGGAAAAAATAAAAAGTCTTTAATCGATGCAGAAGTTACGTCAACATTACGTCTTGTTCTTCATTGATTTTCTCCGCTATTTGATCTAAATATAATTTCCTAGGTATCTCATGTATGTCAATCTTTAAAACTTCCGTGTTACGTGATACAAGTTACATCGTCATCGGAAATGCGTTCGCATTATATCTCTCACTATATGTGTAGTTCGATAAAATGAAAAATGAACCTACAAATGAGCTGTACAATTCCATAGAAATTATAACCGTCATAAATGAGGCAGAATGAAAAAGAAGGATCAATTCATGGACTTTCATAAAAATTGCAATGATTCCTGCTTGCTAATTAGAATAAACGGTGAATAATAATTATATAATAATTCCCTAATTCGCGATAAGTAATTAATTATAAGTATGCACAGTGTATGTAGCAATAATACTATTAAATATGTACTATCCAAGACAATCATTTTCTTTCATCATGAAGGAAAAATAATTGCTTCATCTGTCCTTTCTTGCTGTCATTCCAACTTACTGACAAGAAACGGACGGAAATGTCGAGAGGGAAAAATTAATTCGTCAACAAATTCGCAATCTTTAAAATAACGGAAAATTGCTATGTTGTAAAATGCGATTTAATAAATACATAATTAAAGAGCCAAAATAGATAGAGATAACAATATATAAATTTGATAAAGAATAAAAATATTAAAGTCATTTAAGCTATAAAAATATTCTAAACGGCGTCGAACAATGACTCGAAAATAGAAAATCGAATTCGGATTATATTGTGGAAGAATGGTTGTACTATTCTAGTACTTCCGCGATACAACAAAGAAAAATTTAATTATATATAGTACTAATTTGCAGCTAAGTCTTTTGTAACCAGTGAAAACTTGAACGCACGCAATACAAATACTTGGAACGCATCACTTTCGATTTTATTTTGAGCAAACTTTAAGTTTCGAACTTTGAGTTTTGCTATGAAATACGAGTAGTACTTTAGGTAATACCGTTAGATGCGTCATTACAAGATATGCTACATATTATCCAATTAATTCTCACTTTAAAGGCTATAAGTAGAATTTAAAAGATGTAATTAGAATGTACTTTCAAATGAAATAGAAGCTATCGTATAGATTTTACGATAGCTGGGTTTTAATTTTAGAGAAAATAACTTTTGAAGTACAAAATTAACAGATGAAGTATATATATCATAATTATTTAAGAATAATTAAGTTCTTTTACTTGAAAATGAATATTTTAATATGTAGACTCCTTCCATGTGTACATAGTTTTGTGATTTATTAGATTAAAGAGAAAGTACAGTTATAATATTGTAGATTTGAATATATATTTATATACATAAAAGACACACGTTGTATTTATAAACCGATTTACTATTCCATTACGACAATGACATGTGAAAGATTTATTACAAGACGGAAGATTTCACTTTTTTAATATATTTGCTTATATTTCATTTTCTAACGCTGAAGGTTATATATTACTTTTACAGTTACACTCGATATGTGTTGATGGGTGATATAAGAAAACTTGCGTTTATCAATAATAAATTTTTTTGACGATACAAACATTAGCATTTTTATGCTCAGTTAATTGTTTATCTTAATTAATAAACGATTCTCTTATTGTTACTTTCTTTATTCTGTTTGAGTTTTATAAAGAATGAAATAAAACCAATTCGATAGATAAAAAAAAGGAAAATCCGTTGTTCCTTTAATAAAGTCTGTCTTACATAAAAATTTCCAAATATATAAATTTATCCAATTCCAATATATCAGAACAAAATAAACAAGAACAATGGAAAGAAACATCCTTACTAAACGAAACATATCAAAAGTGTATATGCATTTTTGTAACTCAAATTCACATATTCCCTTTTCAATCGGTTTTGTTGATAAAAAATTAGGTAAGAAAATTTTCATATTTATTAAACAGAGCAAGATAATATAGACGCAATTGTTATTATAGATAAGATAGTTATCATTGATTTCTATCTATCACTTTAAAAAAGCCGATAGACAATAGTAGATAAAATTAAATTAGGCCAACAATTGACTTTTTACGACTTTACGTAATTGTAGATATAAAAATTTCACGTTTACTGAACAGAGCAGGATGATAAACGCAATAATCAAATACGGTGTCTATCATTGATTTCTATCTAGCATTTTGAAAAAGCCGATAGACAATGGTAGATAAAATTAAATTAAACCAATAATTAACTTTTTACGACTTTACATAATTGTAGATATAAAAATTTCACGTTTGTTAAACAAAGCAGGATGATAAATGCAATAGTCAAATACAATATCTGTCATTGATTTCTATCTATATTGTCTTCTATTTATATGTTTTGAAAAAAAGCTGATAGGCAATAGTAGACAGAATCAAATTAGGCCAATAATTTACTTTTTACGACTACGTAATTGTATGTATAGATTATATTAATTGCATATATAAATATGTAATTCTTATAATTATCCGGCTATTAAATGTTAGGGATATCTCCTCGATAGGAAGTAAGTAATTTAGTAAGCAACCAAACAATAGGAATAACAAAAATGTATGCAAAATTTTTGATCAAATGAATGGTTCAAGGCGATCTCTGATGTAATTATAGATAGATATCTTTGCAAAGAATAAGTCAACTAGTAATAAGAAATATAAAATCCTAAGTATATATATATATATAAATTTGCAGTATAAACGTAATTGCTTTTTTCTCATGCAAAGGGTTACCTATTAAGATGCGTGCAGTAAAGTGCGTAATGTTCTCTACTTCCTTTATTATTATGATTTACCTTGTTATAACAAAATATAATACGAACATATTAAAAACTTGCTCTCTTCAACCCTGAATTATAAAAAAATGACACATGGCGTCATCATGATTAAGTGGTTTCAAAAACTATTTGTATGACCTGTTAGAATGTTTCGTGACCTCTAAGAGAGAAGTGCTTTTATATGTACTTTTTTATTATCTACGGCGCGTCGTAATTATCGTATCATTGTTATGTACTAATTGACGAGGATTTCCATAATAGCTTGGTTATTAGATAAAAAATAGTTTAAATAAAAAAGTTTCACTGCAATGTTTGCTGCTTGGTAATGCAAGTAAAAGTGATTATTAGCAACGGATGGATGAACGTGATAAATAATAATCGAATGCCGTTAATTTTTGTAATTATCTGTGACAACCCTGTATTTGCAAACTACTAAACAATACATACATATATCATATGCAAAAATGTGCCTTAAATAAATGTTTTAAGACACTTAGGTCGATTCATATTTCATAATTCCGTTCGATTACTAAAGATATTATTCGCGCTTCAATTTTATGCCGTGCTTTTTGATATATTATCCACTATATCCCTGACATATATACCATATGTCAATTTCTCATACTTTAAGAGACTAATTATCGATTTTATCGATATTGTTACAGAGCTTCCTGCAGAGAAAAAAGAAAAGATTAAAATTGTTATAAATGAGAAATCCGATAAGGGGTAAACCTTGCTGTTTAATTATTTAAGCACAATATTTTAACAGAGATTTCCTTTTAAGATAGATGCTATGCGGCCTGAAAAAAATACTTAATCAAAATGTTGAGTACTATTCTTATCCAGAAAAAATCTTCTTAAATACAAAACTTTGTTCAGCTGCACACAGCAAAAGGTTAAATTATATTGTTACATTCGAAAGCTTGCCATACACAAATGAATCTCTTGACGGTTATCCTTGATGTATCCACGTTTCGGCGATTGAAATAAAATTTATCAATGTGATCGATCCCTTCTTCAGGATCTCCAATGCAGACCAGAAGGAGAGAATGAGAGGTAGACGTGGATATAAGTGTAGCGTGGAGGTGGTGCCAGGCCCCTCCTTCTAATAAAAGCCGCTCACTAAGCGTCGCTACACAGACAGTAACAGAAAACCCCGAAGAGAGCAGGAGCCGCCGAGAGCTCCTTCAGGGCCTCACACAAAATCTTTTTTTTTTATTTAAAAAAATTCGATTTTCACGGCGAACCGTGTGACGGATAATATCTGTGCGTGGTGAGTTTACACAAATCTCGCGTTTCTAATTCGATCAGCGTCTTTTCCGGGTAGCTGTGTACTCATCTTCAGTGTCGTGGAGAATTTACCGAACGCGACGACCACGTGGCGAGGTGATGATAAGTGGGAAACTTTTGAGTTTCATGTGTTCTTGAAGACGAATGCAGACAGGCAAAGCTCGTGAGATATTCCTATCGTTTAACAAAATTAACAAAATTAGATATATTAGATAAAAATATAATTATTGATAAAGTGAAAAAATTGCAAATTTGTTTATACGCAAGAAATCAGTATGAAATATTACGGCATAATGTAATATTATTTTATATTTTATGAAAGTGCTCTTGAATCGCGATTTTCCGGAGAAATCTCTTTCCATCTGGACGCACAATTTCCTCCGTAATTACTTATCTGATGAAAACTCTGGAATTCTTTTCCGTACAATTAATAGTTTATAGGAATATAATTTAAAAAATATTATTTACGAGATTACTGATGTAAAAAATAATTTATAGAATAGAAAAAATAAAAAAGCACGGAAAGAAGTTAACAGAGTGAAAATCTTGAAATGGACCGGAACAGTAAGTTCCAAGTGAAAATGGAAATTTATGACAATCAGCACGAATTAAATTCGCCCATGCTTGAAGAATATCAATTTTTTTCTTCACACAGGAAGTCTCTCGGAAAAATTCTCTTTATGGCTACTTCGATTGCAAACTTACTTATTCTCACTTTCATTGTTCACAAAAAATAGAAAACAAAATTTCTTTATCATCAATTTTAATATTGACTTAATACTTCTTTTTACTAGTTGAATAATTATTTTCTCGAACTTAATTTTACGTACAAAACTTCAGAGTATATTTATTTCTTAGAAAATGGAAAAAGATTTTTAATTCATGCATTATCGTATCATAATCGCAATGTAAATTGTCCTTTGCAAGGTAGTGATGGAGATGCCAATTAAAATTAATTATCATGTGGCCTCGAAAATAGAATATTGCAACACCGTCTCCAAGTAGAAGTGATGTGTGCTGAATCTATATCGTCTTAATGCCATTATATCGCCATTATCCATCCTTAGCGTGCCAAATGCACGTGTAGCTATTTATATTTGCATTGGCATACATTAGCAAAAAAAACTTCAAAGTTACGCGTGCATTAACAACATTGAAAAAAAATCTGGTAATAGCTATCAAATGTATTTTGTTTAGCATATTGATGCAATATTTAGTAAATATTATCAAACACAATAGTAATCAACAGTTTGGTAATAATTAGAAAAGTAAGATAATAATTTGTAAAGTAAAATTAACGTTTAGTTGGTATTAGTTATATTAACTGAACGTTTGATTGCCATTATTTCATCAAAGCTTTAATAACTACCATCTGAACTTGATATATTACTATTATCAGATCTTTTCTTCAGTGAACGTTTCTTAGAAAAGTAAATATCTCCATAATTTTACGTTCCATTTAAAATAAAATTAATTGAGAAAATTATTTTTTTTTCGATTAAATAATCTAAGAATAATTAAACACGTTTATTGGGTTTTTTTTTGGTTTGTTGAAGGCTCTCAACATAACTTGTAACCGGTTTTCGTGAACTATGGTCAGCGTTTCGAAGTTTTACGTCACGAAACGCAATAATTTTATTCGGTTGCAAAAAGCAAGCAAATTTCCACAGAGCTCGAAAAAGGAATCGTGAATTAATAAATAATCCTAATGCGGACATAAAACGCAGCAAGCACCAGTGTGTTTTATTAAAATCGAGACTAATTAAAGAGCTCGCGCACGCTTTATCTCGCCTTTCCTCCCGCCACCTTTGAAGACGCCAGCACAGCGTTCTCCACTTTCATTCCGTCGAAAGTGATAGTCGCGAACGGATCCATGTTCGAGAAAGGAGAGTCATTGCGTCTCTCCCCTTCGCTCTTTTCTCCATGCACCTTCATGTTTCCTTCGTCTTGTCATGATCCTTGTGAACGATTTCCGCTTTACCTTGCAACTTGTCTTTGCGTGTCTGTATGGAGGGGAGGGAGAGGAGGAGGGATAAAGAGAGAGAACGAGAGACGTACTGAATACATCTTAGAAAATCATGAGAGAAGTAGAATTATGACCCGTGAAAAATCTTTCACTTTCATCATGCGCACATTATATCCGGATATTTATTTTCACATCGCACGTGCTTCGAAAGAACGATTATTTCTAAAATAATTTAAAGAAGCTTGTACGAAATATATGTATAATATTAAGGTCGTTTTCGAGAAATCCACGTACTGAGAGAAAAAAACGGTTGTAATTTAAATTATTATTAATTCAAATTATAATAAACATATATGATACTAGTAATTTAAATTATTATAAATAGTTTGACTATAGTTTATAATTATTTTCAGTGCCAACTATATATTTTTTGATAGAACTACAAATTATTATTATACTGTAAATTATTACTAATGTCATAGCAGTAATAACCATAAAAATAGAGCTCCTAGATAATTATTTTACCATGCAGTTATAATCCTAAATACCAAACATTTTTCTCTCAGTCTATGGACTGCGATAAAGATTCACTAAGTAATCCATATCGCGTAGAATGTGAAAATTTGATTGTGAGAAATATGCGATATTGCAACGCGTTAACGAGGAATTAATTGCTACCGTAATCATAAATACCTAATTGTGTATGTTAAAATAAACATTTTATTTCTGCAGAATTCATCTGTACGAATCAAGATGAGATTTACTATTCTAACGCTGACGGCTGTGCTTTGCCTCGCATTAGTGAGCTCGCATCCGCTTCCGGAAGACGGACTCCGATCAGAGGTAAGCACGTGAGCGGCACATCTCGTGCCTTTCTCTTTTAACATCGCGATCTATTTTGCGAAGATTAATTCGCGGCATTAACGGCTACTTCTCCCATGCATTATCGCTTAATTATCTAACACGAATGGCACGTGGCAACTAACAGAGTTCGAGGCCGAATTTCAAATGTGACATAGCGTAAAAATTTTACTACTTATTTTGCATTAGAGGTATAAGAGCTAATCAATTCCTGCGTAAAATTATGCATGACGCTTATAAAGATTGTCACTATGTCATTGAATAGCAATTTCAACATTTTCCATTAATCTTTTCCATTAATCTTCATTTCTTCACTTATCTTTAGTTCTTTCGATTAAGGAGAAAGTCTGATTTGCAGAAAATAATGTCGCAGAGAATTTCTCTGTATCGAAACATAGAAATTACTAATTAAATTACGTATGGTTATTAATTATTAATAAACGATATGGGTGATCAAATGCAAGATGATTTCTTGTCGATCGCGAAAGTTCAGGTACATTCCACTCTACGAACGTTAAATGCTCGATCGTTCTATCGAATTGATCGATTCGATGGCTGAAGATGACATTTTACTTTCAACGAGTCTTTCACTCGAACAATATCACCGCGACGAAACTGATAGTAATATAAACAAAACGGCAATTGATATTTTATGTATTGTGCTTGTGGTTTACAGAACCGCAAATAAGAATTTGTTTATTTAACAACGTGGAACTGGGAAATACTAGTAAACTGAATATAATTGTTCCTTTCTATTCCCACTAATAAATACATTTTATTACAAAAATGCTTATGGAGTTAATAAAATTTGCATAAGGTGCAATGCACTTCCTCATCGAAATTGCGCTGTAACGACGTTGAAATCTTTTACGTTTGAAATATTATCCGTAGTATACGTCACCAGAAATTATTTTGTAATTCTTGATTCTTCGAAAATGTGGCATTGCACGTAATTGTTACGATTGCTGTTACATTATTACATGACTTTGGAAATCATAGCTGTTATTCGAAGAACTCTATCAATAGCTATTATCATAGCTACTTAAACTTAGCGTTTACTATAATTTATTAATAATTATCTGTATTGTTTACGTAACTTGCCGTTACAATTTAAAATCATGTAATACGCTGAGCACGTGCGTAAGTAATACTGGAAAAATGGTTCCCGGCAGAACGGTTACATGACAATAAATATAAAGAGAGTTTGGAAAACATTTTGCGCGTAATATTCGGGTACGAGCACCTTCGTGCGGAGTTCAATGTTTCGGTTATGCGACTGTAAAGTACACGGTATAACCCTCAAAGTATACGATCCGATGAAAACCCGGGTCGTCCGACCGGCTCTCGTCCTCGCTCCGACACTTTCACTGGCCACCAACATCGGCGGAGTTAACGGACACTTTCTTCGGTCGATAGGCGTCCGATGGAAAGCTGGTGCGTACGCACAAGTGCAATTTAACAACACGGTGTGATATACAGATTGTATACAAACAAATTACTGGTCTTACGTCCGATCCGCATTTTCGCTCAGTCGAAGGATATGAGATAACAAAATGTGTCAGATATTGTGGGTGATATTAGGGAGATACAGACATAAATAATTAGGTGAATACGAATGTGAACGGCCTATTAGAAGTGTATAAAAAATCCATTAAGACGTGTAAAGATGAATCATAGGACATAAACATGTTTAATTAGGAACTATTATTATTGTTATTATTATTATTATTATTATTACCATGGAAAGAATGATTTTGCTGAAGTATCTAAGAATTTAACTAAATACAGATCCAGAAAATAATTTTATCATCCATTAAAATAATTATGTAGAACGTTTAATCATAATGAGCAATATTATAAAAAATGTTGATATTCTATCAACCAACTTGAGCGTTTTACATAATCATTTTAATGGTTTAAAATATTTAGATCTATATCTACCTAAATTTTAAATACTTTAGCAAAACTGCTTTTCGCGTGTACTATACTAAATAATACTAAAACATATAATTAATTGCATAAATAATTAGAAAATTGAAAGGTATATAGTAAAACATTAAAGAACTATGTAATGTAAGATATTAAAAAATTATGAAGGCATGAATATAATTATATAAAAGATGATGTATCAATTTGTATGTCATTTTGATATACGTATCCATTTTGATGTATATATCCATTTTGATGTATGTATCAATTTTTTCTTATCTCTTATTCTTAAGATTTTTAAACGTACGAAAATAAATTTACAAGCAAAATTTCTTATTCAAAGTTGATTGGGACGAACAAATACGAAGGTGATCATATGAATGTGAAACGAGATTTGAGGGAAAGTGTACCATAATGCTTCGGTTGAGCAACATTTGGGTTTGGTTCCCGCCTATTGGCCAATCTAGCTCCATCAGTACGAAATTTAATGTGAAACTGATATAAGATATATACTTGAATCACCTTGTCGTAAAACAGGTTGTCCTTCTTGATGACACAAATGTAATCGAATGTTAACATTTCGTAATTTCGACTAAATTAGCTGTATATAAATACCAGAATTTGATAACTTTCATACTCGCGCAATTTTTTTGTTTAGATAAATATCCGAGAATATACATTTGAAATAATTAATTCTCACGATCAACATCGGCGATAATAGTTGTCTTTATTATCATAATATATAATAAATTTTAATCTTAATATATATGTAAATCCCAGTTAATGAGAATTTGTTATAGTGTCTTCTTGAAGGAAATAGCAAAATCGGTTCAATATCCAATGGCGCTAAATTAATGATCCTTGCTTGGTTAGCATCTAACATAAAGAACATTACACAACACAATTACCTTAACATTCTCAAACACTAAATTCCATGGCCTTTACCAACCATTTTTAGTTGGAGCGGGAAAATTACGTATCACAAGTATTTCCTTATTTGTCATTACTTCGTGCAGGTACATAGTTTGACGTTATATTTTAACGTCACTTTGACAAAAACGATGCACAAATTATTTTAATAGAAAGGATTCCTTTGGCAATTCCTTCTTCATCATCATCATCATAATTCAAATTATTGTCTAACACTTTGCGAGACATGTACTTCAGTGCTCTGTAGATTGAAAGATCCCAGTTCATACATATTTAAAAGCTCTTGCGTAACTGTAGAAGTCCACGTGTCTACTTACTTTAAGTAGATAGCCATTTTCTCGCAATCAAACACTGGCTTATTAATCCGTAAATGTGTATAGCCTCGAAGATTTGAAATCTATGAGGTGTATCAATTGAAACCCGATAATTAATATCCTTAATATCCTTAATATCCTGCGATTATTAGCTGAAAAGCATCTTTGCTATCATAAAGATCCAAATTCAAATAGCTGTCGTATGACAGGGCCAACAAGAAAACTTTCTTTCAGGCCCTCGATCGGCTGGTGATGGCCGAAGCCGACAGCGAGGCTGCCCTGAGGAGCAAAAGGACTATTGGCATTCTACGACAGCTCTTCCCCGATATTTCCCAGGTGAGCAGTCGTTGATACACCAATGTCAGAGAAATCCTGCAGAAGGCCAGGACTAGACTGACACGCCGAGCGGCGTTTTATAGGCGAAACTGTACATAAATTATCATCGCAGATTATACATCTCGCCTCGACAAACATTATCAAGGAGCAATAAGATGTCCTTGAGCGATTCACATCAGGCTGAAACGCACTAAGAATTTTTGATATTCTCCAATTAGGATTTTGCTTTCGTCGATCTGTATAGAACTGTGCCGTAAAAAAAAAAAACAGTATTCGCTGAACACTTCAGCCTTACATTCTTACCGAGAAAGTAACGCATACGATTTGAGAGGCAGCCAACGCATTAGCCAACTACCCTTTGCTCATTCACTCGTACGCTCACGTACAGATCGATTTGTTTTGATCTTATTCCATGAGTATGTTCCGCATGAAGAGAACGGAAGCGGTTCGTCATGCTCCACGCTAATAAAAAAGAATAATTGCGTCTCCGTCGATTCTTCCTGTTAGCTATATAAGATTTCTCGTGTTCTGTTTTTCCTCTCTTTTTCTGAATCCTCACTCAATCTGCAGTACCAGTTACATAATGAGAATTTTCACGAGAACTTAGTAACTTTATTAGGGGAAGTTTCATTACAATTCGAATAAAAAAATCGCGCAATGCGAAGTAAATCGTTCATCAACGGAATAAGAGAGACTCCTACCTATAAAAACTAAACATTCGGGAAAGTTTCTTTCTTGCGTGTGAAATTCCTTCTGGCCGTATGCTGCCTATTGAATTGTTCACGAATAACTTCCTAATTTGACTAATAATACGTTGTGCGATTTTTTTTGTCTTGTTAGCAAATGGCTTCCTCGGCATTGGCCAGCAACGCCGGGTTTCTTATGCATGCGGTTGCATGTGCGTGCACGTGTACGACAATGGCGATTTAGTAACGAACCTTTGCAGAATAGCGTGAGTTAGTTATCTCACATTGCCGCGAAGTCGCGGTTTGCGCGAGCCGGAAGATCGTTTGTGAAGAAATGTCGAAATTTCTCTGGCAGCGTCCTCGAATGATTGGACGAACGCATGAAGAGTTGATGACGGTCGCACGAAGTGACATTGTAAGATCCCTCGGGTTACGGAGTAACTACATTTCAAAGAAAACCATGTTTAATTCTGTCTTTGTATTTAAAGTAGGATCGTAAAAATCTCACAGAATACCTGCTTCACTGAGCGCCGAGTATTGTGTAATGATGGTAAACCTGATTTCCTATGACTTATAGCGCTGTTGAAAGGAAATCCAAGCCTGGTAATAAGAGATAATGCGATAAGAAGCAATAAGTCAGTCATACTTAAACACAGCATCGATCAATTACACAAATATTTATTAACTAGCAGAACGATTGATCGGATATTTAAAAAGATCCTCGTACAGGCCGAAGAAAACGTCATAAGTCTATATCATTCATAAATAAAAAATGTCAACGATCATTGCCATGGGTTGATAGATATCATATCATCCACTGATCACGCGGCTGCAAAGCAATGTCTTGAAATCAGAATAAAAAAAAAAGGAGGAAGATCTATCACTACGCTGCAAGACTTTCCAGCAAAGGCCTGTTATTTTCTAGAGAATCGAATCAAAGGTCAACTCTATTATCGGAGAAATCATTCGTGTCCTTGGTCCGGTCATCCTCCGCAATATTCTTGGCGGCGGCATGGGCAATACCCCCCCAGGCGTCGAGAAGAGTGACGAAGGTACGAGCGTAGTGGGTATGTCGCCCTTCGGAGATGACGATGAGGATGAGTCTATGTCAACTGGCTCGAATAATGCTTCCAAGGTGTCGATCTCTTTGCCGACATTTCCACCTGATGAGGAGGAAACGATTAATTCCTCTTCGTTCACTACCTCATCCTTGATAACGACGGCAGAGAGCAGAGCCAACATTGTCGACACTACGACGACCACTACAGCAAAGCCAACGACACCGTCTTTACTAGAAAACGAGGTCACCACTGCGCAGTGACTGATTGATCAGCAGCTCGGTAAAAATTTCGAGGTCACGACCTTGAGGAATCTTTATGAGAAATACAGAATTGCCTTGCAGAATGCCTTACCGCGCATTCAGGACTGCTGCGGCACTGCGTTGTCTACTTTGTGTGCTAATTATTCATTGGGTGTTCGAGAAAACGAGGATCGAATCGATCGACCACTCAGATCTCGAAGGATTTAATGACCTAAGTTTTACCGCGCAACCAGGACTGCCGCGGCTGCGCACGTTTTTTTCGTTACGGTTACTAATTGTGTTTTTGTCCTCATGTTTGTTATTTATGTAGCTATTAATCGTCTAATGTTGCATTGGCAACTCATGTTGCTACGATCTTTTATTGCAATCTTATTTCACCAGAGTCACAGAATCTACAAAAATTTTTTTTCTGTTATGTTGTGATTCTGGGTCCCCTTCCATCTTATTATTTCAATTATCATTACGTGTTTCTCGTCTACGATTCATACATATTATATGTTTATATACAGATATAGTGTTCAGAAATAGATGGAAAAAATAGATGGGAAAAAAGAAGTAATCCTAATTGATAAAATAAGACAGAAATTAAGAATAAATTATAATTAAAATTTTTTTATATAAAGTTTTTTAATTATAAATGTTTAAATTAAATATAATATCTACATAAAAAAATGCAATGTTTAAATGCCTAAAGCATTTTTGTCATAATGTCTAAAGAATACGTAAATATTTAGATATTTAATATAATTAAAAAACAAAGTCTCCATTGAAATTTTGTTATCTTTGATTAATGACTTCCATCTTATTTTATTATTTAGAATAACTCATTAAATTTTCTCTTATCTGTTGTTGAACACCTTGTATATATTCGCAGAATCATTTAAAATCTATGTCTATTTAAAACTTTTATCTCTTCGTCATCTAACTCTGACATAAATTCAAGATCAGACTTTAACGTTTATATCGTGTAGCATATTTCTTCCTTCACGAAACTCTGAAGCCATTTCAACTGCTAGATTATTTTTTAATTCAAGTTTGGAAGTTCATCTTGAAACAATCTTTTCACAAATAGCCTTTTTCGGCTTGTCGTTTTGTCATCTCTATTTTCAATATGCTAATCATTTTTTAGTCATTAGCTGTTGCAGAATAAATCAGCTTAATGCATACAATAAGTGTTCGTAGTACAGTAATCGTACTTGTAATAATCTTTAAAATAAAGATTCTTTAAAATAATCTTTAAAAAATAACTTTTGTTTACGTTTCTTACATAGCATCTACCGATATTATTGCATATATGTATATATACATCATATATACATATATATATATTTCAAATAATACTTGCAAATTATTAGCAATCAATGATTCATTACTCAACTTTTTGTTCGATGAATCATTGACGATTACGTGTGATGCCCGAGATAGTATAATCTAACATAAATAACATATTTGTTGAAAACATTCTGTTTAACTTTCTATTAATGCTATTCTATATGCTATTTGTGCCGCTTATTGATTATGCATGTTACATACTATGTAGAGTATCGTTTATAATTCGCATGTTACTTGTTTTGACATTGTTATATAAATGTAGTTAAAAGATTTAAAAGTAAATATAGTATTAATCATATTTTAGTTCTGATTCACAAAAAAGCTCAATCAAAAAGTAACTATAAATTCATGTAACGGAAGTCATATATATCATGAATAATTTATAGGAAACGTTGTTGGAATATTACGTAGTCCTAACAACACTTTACACACTCTGGAATTATGCAGGCGACCTACTTGCCATATGATTTTTTGTGCACTTCTCTTCGTTGAAAAAATCAACAATGATCGATTGATTAATAATAAATTATTAACAATCTGTGTCACAATAGATATATCTATACCATGCGTGTTGCTTATGCTACAAAACGCACATATAAAATATATGATGAAACGAATTAATTGCTCTTTATTCGCTCCAGCAAAAAGTCGCGAGACATCGTGACTTATTGTCTGGAGCCTTATTTTTGAGAAATATCGTATACCAAAATACTGTAATATACGTATATTATAATGTACGTATCATGTATATTATCGATTTTCGTATGCAATATAAATTCAGGGATAAAGACCTCCTGATTCTTGTCAGCCATAGGAAACATTTTTTTTACAGGACGTGAACCCAGAATCAGAGAATCGAGTGAATGAGATCGGATCGGAATCACAGAACAACGAGGTGCGAGTGCAATTCGCGGACGAAGTGCCGAGCGACAGTTCGCCGCAGGAGTTGACGCCATTAGATGAAACCGAGACGGAGGAGGATGAGAATAGAAACAAGAGATTCCTCTTTGGTTTCGGCGGCGGTACCGGTGGAAGCGCCGGGTCAGGCAATTTCCTCTTCGACATTATCAGGGTGAGTTGCGATGTCTTAGACATAACTTCCTTTGATAACGCTGCGTAAAAAATGGAGATTGGAATCATACTCAAGAGAAGACGGGGAATGGGGAAAAAGCAGGTTCGAGATTACATCGTAAGTTCAGATAGGTAAGTCCAGATCTACAATAAGTTTTTAAGCCTTAAGCCATAAGAAATGTACGAATCATAGTCAATTATTTTCCTCGCATTTGACTGTAATTGATCAATTTCTTATAGCTTAAGGCTTAAAACATCTATTGCAAATCCGGACTAACAGTGCGCCGAGCAATCAATCTCGAATACACTTGATATTCCAGTAATGGGCGAATAACCACAAGGTTACTAGCTGCAAGCGACAGTGAAAGTGCGCAACCGAATTGCCTTTAACCATCGCTGTACCATCTGTTACTATCCCAAGGTTCCTGACCTAGGCACGATCGGGCCTCGCGATAGAATTACCTTAGCCGAGATTCTCACCAAAGCCGATGTCTTTGATTAATAGTCCATACGATGAAATTCGCGGTTATATACAATGCTAGAAAAATGCCGCGGGTTAGTTAAACTAAGAATTAGCAATAATAGAAGATAGAGCGGGTAACAACTACTTTACTGTCATTGCAAATACTATTTGTAGTTCGATCAATTTTAATCTTTGTTAGAAAAAATACTCATACTCCTAAATAATTGAAGCTCTTTTCTTCTGTTTTTAATACTTTTTAAAGGAGTGCTGGAATGATGATCAAACTTGATCGATATCAATAAAACAGATTCTTAATTTCAAAGTAAAAATATTACATATATTAAATAAAATATTAAGTAAAACATTACGTATATTTCTTGCTCTGCTATATTCTATATATTGCATAAATGCTAGATTATGTACACTCAAATCGTACTTTCCTAGAGAGCACAAATAAAATCGTCTAAAAGATGACTAAAAGATGACTAAATTGTTATAAAGATGTCTTTTAGTGAAAGAATATAGTTGACGAAAAAATGACTAAAAGATCAAATATCGCATTGCTAGTCGAATCATCTTTATAGATGTTTCCATAACAATTAAAAAATGATTTCTATATGTATGTACATATCTTTTAGTTGTCTTTAAGACTTCTTTTTTATAACGCGTTTACTAATAAGAGCGTAAGAGCTTTAAAACGTCACATTGGCAACACTGATTGGATTGTTGTCGTCGTGCTGTAACAGCTGTACTCAATAGTGTGTGGCAAGTTATTATGGAGAGATACATGATTCAACAACGAATAGAAATTATTAAAATTTCCATGAAATAAAAAAGTCCGATTAGTTGAATTTCTTATACCGTATGTGTTACCGTTACGTACAAGAGTCCGTACACCCCGCTTTAAATATCACATGAATAAAGCTATAAAGATGATCAGCGATGCGATTTATCGCCTTGTAAGACCGCAGCACAGACTTATGCAAGAGTCTGTACTCCCCGATTTAACCACTTTTTCATCAATATTCCTTTACTAAAAGATATCTTTATAACAATTTATCATCTAGGCTTTTAGTCATTTTTTAGACGACTTTGTGTTTTTTGAGTATTGAAGTAAAAGTGAATAAAGAAAAATCAGTAAGTTCTTTATTTTTTCCTGTTAAGGACACAAAATACACCAGAGCCAGATATTAGCAAGTGTATTTTGATCGTGAAAAAAATTTTAATTGTTCTGTGACTGTGAAACTAATACAAAGTAATTAGTTTCATAGTATGGAACAAAAATGATATTTTGATCGATAAAACAAATGTTAGATCCCTTTATATAGCCAGTAGTTTCACTTTCTTTAAAAAAATTTGAAATTAATTAATTATTTATAGTGCTCGGAATTGGTTGTACATTTCGGGCCGATTCCTTCTATTTTACCTCCTCTACCACTCAACACTCGACGATCGAGTTACCGAATCGCGCGCAGAAATGTATCTCACAATCAGTAGCACACTATAAGAAATATGCTGCGACCGTACCCAGGTAGCAACACACGTCATTTTGACGTCAAAAGACGTTATTTTGACATCAGCTTGCTACCAGGGTACCTACACTGAAAAAAAGATTGGCTGCTGCAGCAAATTAGATGGTAAAATATGGCATAGCATTTTTAATTGGTTGCAGCAGCCAATCTTTTTTTTCAGTGTACCATTGTAATATTAATAATAAATTATTTAAAATTACAAAAGAATTTCAATTAAATTTTTTATTTAACTATATAATAAGATGTATAATTTTTGCAGAAAATGATTAGAAAGAAATTTATATTTTCCATACAAAAATAAAAATATTACAGGAAAAAGAAAACGTTTAATAAGAGAGAGAGAGATCAATATTTATCGATATTTAACAATACAATTTTATAATTTAAATAAAAATTTTATTTATTTTATCTTAATTATTTTTTTAAAGCATGGTATTATTTTTTATTAAAATAATTTTTTATTCAAGTTTTAAATCACTGCCAAAATTTTGTATTATTTTCAAATATTTACAATATATATAAAAACATCCGTAATTTAAAAAAAAAATTTTTTATCATTTGTTAAAAAATACAGGTAATACGTCCATTAAAAAAATTTGTTAATAACATATTAATGATGTATTAATAGATTTAATTGCTGTTCGCATGACATGGTATGAAATCATTATCTTATATCGCATATATGTTTCTCGAGAAAAAACGGTCGTGCGTGCTGCATTATCGCGTGGAAATGAACAATAACCGTGTCGCGCACCAACGACACTCGGCGACCGGTTTTTTCTGCACAGTGTCTATATCGGTGAAACGGGTTTTTCACCGTCAGGACAGATGCAATCACGCGAAAATCGAGTCACCGTTTCCAATGGCCGCTGTCACTGTTATACCGTTATTCGCTTTCCTGGCAAAAAGACGTTATTATGAGTGACTCGAACCGATTCTAGACCGGTCGCGCGCGCTGCGACCCTTCACTGTTCACAGATTGAGAAAACAAGAAACTTGCTACGTGACCGATACTCTACTAGTTCTTGCCGTAGGTACTCACCTGTTAATAAGCGACAATTATGCTAAAAACATTTTGTTCTCTTACGGCAAGAACGAATGACACTACCCGATTTCATTTAAAATTTGAAACGAAGATTCTCAAACAGAAAATCATTATAACATTAAAATAGTTAAAAAATGATTATTAAACTTAATCACTGCAGCACAATCTTGGATTATAACTTATAACGTCAAAAGAGAGAAAATATAAAGAAAATTCTTGCAAAAGTATTAAAATGTGAATATTTTTCAATAAAACAATATCTGCAATTCATAGAATTATAGATTTGTTAAATAGTTATACATACCGAAAATTCCTCTTGTGTTTGATTATCAATATAAATAACCATATATTCGAAATTAAATTATGTCTAAAACTATGACAGCTGTCGAATTGAGATAAACATGATTTTATTCTATATCGAAATAAAAGGAGTTTATGATATAATTTACAAATGTGCTCTATCAAATGCAAATATGTTATTTAAAAATATATTTCTATTTTAAGATATTTTGCAAGAATTTTCGTTATCTGTTTTTTCACTTTTGAAGTCATCAATCTAAAGATTTATGTACTGTTAAATATCAAAGGAGCAACGGTAACTTGCCTTAAGTTAAATAAAATTTTGTTATTTTTAACTTCCATATGTGTCAAAATGTATATATTAATCCATTTCTGTGATTCAAAGTAAGCATCCATATTAATATATGCACTTAGTAAATAACAAATAAAATTTGAGTCAAATTTGATACATTTTCTTGAATTAAATTATTTAACTTCAGTGTCTTAATTAAATTAACGACATATTGAATAGGAGTAGTGGTAAGTTATAGAAATGATGAGAAATAACTAAAATTAAGTATAATTTGACATTATGGATTTGATTTAATAGTGTGAGTGGTCAAGAACCTTAAAAATCGATCACTTTTCCATCAATCATGATTAATTCTAACATCGTTGTGACGTAACATGACCATTTTACTGCTTAGGCTTTTAATGGTTATGAAATAAAATGGATATTTATTGAATGAAGACATTTAATTATGACATTGATAAATTAGTTGGCAAGATTTTAACGATTGTGAATAGAATTGATATTTATATCACGTAACGGAGAAATTTAATTATAACATTTAGAAATTACTAAAAAATGTGACAGCAGCATAATAAGAAGTGACTTTTTAATGACATCCGGTAGAAATTTTTGTAATGACATTTTAGACTGCGACATCCCAGTCGATCAGTACCGGACCTTTCAACTATTTAACAAATATAATGCATATTTATATGGGCAAAGTTCATATGAAGAAATCGTACGTAATATCGCTAACGATATCGACTCGTCGATATCGAACCGGTTTTTCTTCACACATACTTTGCCTGCGGAGACACGTATAGTTAAACAATTAATTCCTCTCCATTTTTCACGACGGCAAAACAAACTGATTGCATGACAATCCATCAGCGGCGAACGAACGACCACAACCCTCCAGGTTCTACCCGAGGGCTCCACTTTGTCGCGATTACAGTACTTTTAACGAACCACTTTCCAGCCATTATTGCAGGACGTTCCAGAAGTTCGCGCGGAGTTCCGCTGGGAGAGATAGCAATCTCTTGTGCGATATCGCGCAGACGGACGGGAAAATGAACGAGAGAAACGCGATTCCTTCCAGCGGGGGCAGAGAACGCCAAGTAAACGAAACTGTTCTCGTCTCTGTTTCTCGTTTAGCAAGCGGCCGACGGGGCGGCAAGAGCGGCGGGCACGGTGTACCGTGTCGTGGCCGGTACACAGAGCCTCGGGCTCGGGCTAAGCGCTTCGCGCGACGTGAGTCCAGCCGCCCCAGCTGCCGCCAACCCCGGTGGTACTGGCACCCCGACGTCCGGCGCACCTTCGACCGCCGCCCCAGGAGCCGGCATTCTACCACCGGTACGCCAAATCCTTCCGACACGCCTAAGTGTCCGCCGACAGAGAGTACGGCGACTGCGCTTTCTTTGACCGAGCCCGATAAGACTGAATGCTCACATATGCCGTTCTTTTAGAGAATAACAGTTCTTCGGCGAGACTTCGATGACGAAACGCGTCGAATGATCTGTATCTGCTCTAAAAGTTGAAGGAAACGATCGTAGGCGTTGAGTGGGCACGCAATTATGCGTTTATCTCTTTGCGCAAGAGATATCGATTCCTTACTTTAAAAATAATACAACTAAAAAAGATTAAGTTTCCTAGAAAAAAAAGGAAAAATTAATTTTTTCAATTTGACAGAAAATTATTAATCAAGTAATATCGGTGAAAGGAACATGTCCCTAATATGATCAAATATCATTTTTGTTATTTATGTTTCGCAAGCATTAAAAAAATCATCTTTTTCTAGTTGTGACAATTTTTCTTGAAAGCCACTCTTGTTGAATTATGATAATTTTTATGATTTTTCATAAAATTAAATTAATTTAATGATTGGTAAAGTAATGTTTACCTAATTCATTTATTATAATAACTGGAAAAATACTTTTCTTTAAATTGTGACATTTTTTAAGTAAGGAAGTGATCTGATGCATAACGTGTCATGAACGGATGATCGTTTTTTTCTATTTGTAATGTGAGACAATCGACTTGGTGCTGCACGTATGTATAGCATCAATCGAATTTATCGGGTTCGTTCATTAACTTTCTCTTTCTTTTTCTGTATCTATTTCATTCTACTAATATGACTTCCCTCTTTCTTCTCCTTTTATTTTTCTTTATCTTCTCTTTCTACTCTACTTTTTATACTTCTTTCATTTCATAATCACCCTCAGCATGTCATATGTTTTCCAATTGCATGAAAAATTATATAGTCATCTGATTTTAATACCAAATATAACTCAAAGACACGTTTTTGATCTTCCGGAGTTGACGATGGGTCTATTAAACCTCCTGTATTGATTGTTTAGATAACAAAAATTTTGAAGTAAAAATAATTTAGCCTTCTTTATAATAAAAAGTATTAAGATGAAACATATATTATATTTAAATTTACTATTAGTTCTTAATTCTTGTATATATTGTAACAATTGCCATTTTAACAAAAATGTCAAATAATTAAATTTTTTTTATGTTATATCTGCAAAAAAAATTTGGATTATTCTTATATTAAAATAATCTTTAAATATTTATTAAGTACTCATTATTTTTTATACAACTTATATCATTTTGATTCTTTAAAATTTATTAAAATTTATTCATATATTAAATAGATCTCACAGATTATGTTAGAGATTTTGGCGTTAGCTCCGTAGGATTAAAGTCTATTATAGTTTTCTTCAAAATACTATTTTATAGTATATATGTATTTATTTTTGTAACATCGCAATCGTGCGCTACAAGCAAAAGTAATACAAAGCACTCTTCACATTATAGCTTGTAATTATATTGTCTTAATTGTTCTATTATCTTCAATCAACTCCTTCACATAACTCTTCTCTAATCGCAAAATCTTCCTCGCATTGTATTGCACTTATCTTTATCTGCATGCCACACTTTTTCACATATACGCATCACTGTCGACTTAATTGTATGACGTTCCTTAAATCTTCAACTTACTTTCTACCAATGACTTAATCCCTCACGACGACTTATTTTGAACAGGTTACCGACACACTTCCTGTCTAGTTTCTTTTTCTTTTTCCTCATACACCGTTTCTCCTTCCTTTATACAAAGCATCTACCGATCTTGCCTGTCTCGCTGCGCATGAATTGCATATCAAGATCTCTAATATACCGGCCTGTTGTATATGCGTACGTGTATATGTTTGAAAGTAATGCAACACAGCGAGTTCTATAATCTGCCGTTCCCTCTGTAAAACTATCTTTTCTTTATTTGCTACGACTTCTTTTGTATCCACGCACTTTTTTTACATGTCTAATATTACAAGGAGGTCTTGCCATGTAATTTGTATAAATTGCGCATCCCTAACTCCTAGCTAGATATTACTTTATACATTCCTATACGCAACATAGAGTTGAAGTATAACTACAGTCGACTAAAACGAGTAATATGTTCACACAATATTCGACTTGTATTAAAAATGTTACTAATAGAGTTACCACTTCTTACAACACACAAATATCTGAGTACAAAAAGGGCATTGGTATATTTTTGACATCTCTATTTAATCGACATCTTAGTTTTATTAAAAATGCAATTTGCGCTGAACAACATTTAAAAAATTTCGCAAACAAAAATATGAAGTCTATTCTTTAGCTGAACTTTTTGCATTATTCATCTTTTCTCTTTTTCTTTCCAACGAAGAAAAAGATGAATGGTGCAAGAAGTTTAGTTGAAAAATACATGATCAATTATAATTCGTAAATTCTTAATGTCCTTAATTGTTTATATGCCCTTAATAGCTACTTAATTGTTTTCTTCAACTCTAGAATATTTACCGGATAATTTTGTCCATTTCATCTCGTTCCAAATCCCATCTTGTTCCACCCGGCCAACGGTCCCGACGCAACGCTGACAACCACCGACTTTTAAAATCTGGCGTACTGACCGGCTGATGGAGAGGCCGATTCATTCTGGATATGGATCTCGTTGTTGTGATCTTCGTACTCGTCCACTGCACCGTATATATTTAGCGGTCCGTAGTTGTATCTAGTTCCATTTATTTTGGACGCACCCGAGTAAATGCACGCAGTTTTGTCGCGGCAGACAAATCGGTCGCAATAGTTTGACAATAATATCTGCGCAGATCCTTTGGATGAAGAGTGAATGTTTAATAATCGTTATCAAGAAGCTAGGATTTCTCATCGCGATGGAACCGGTTTGTCTGCCAGACAAAGATCTGCATCTCGTAGATACTTATTGTAAATTTAGTCCACGACATGTACAAACTCGACGCGTTCGTAACTAGACCCATACATCATAGACCAAAGGACGTCTTTATCAAAAACATCCAGAGGATAGTCTTATATCCTCTGAACGTTCTCAGGACGTTCCCAGAACATCTCTCGGATAAAGTGTGATGTACGGGAAGAATTCGCCTGAACACCAAATTCAATATTATTCTTATTATATTATGCGAATTGCTAGATACGAAGCGTATTATTGAGAGTTAATCGTGGCATATGGTTTATCCTGTTGTCACTTTTGGGTACTTGGCGATTTCACCTTTTCATGGTGCACGCGCAGGGTGTCCATATAGAAATCCTTAGCCGGATATCGATTCATGATCGCTTCGCGGGATCGCCTTTCGCTCAAGAATAATCTCAAATAATTCTCAAATTGAAAAAAAAAAACGTATGGACACCCTGCAGACAAACTTCGAGTATTACGAGCCGAAGGAGCGCACGTAAGGATCGTAGCAGTAAGATCGATGGTTCGTATGTTGTAGCCGCAAGTAGGAATAAGGATGTGAGAGCACCGTAGTGTCGGGAGCGCTGGAATTGGACGTGGAGCTGCAATACACACCGCAATTTTATTACCCTCCAACAAACAAACAAACAAAATATTATAATTCCTATATGTTTTGTACTCACTTCTTCGCCGCGCATCCCGAAATCCATTCGGGAACGCAAACGGCGGGGCACCCCTCTAATTGCCTTCCAACTAACTCTAATAGATCTCTGTAATCTTTCCAGCTGGTGGCCGGAAGCGGAAGTAACCAGCTAGGCGGCTCTTCCTCTTCGGACACCCATGAAGGAAAGTCGGATGAACACGAGGCCGTACCCGGCCCAGTCACCAGGTTTTTCGTCATCGCTAATCGAGGACTCTCGAATCTCGTCCAGGATCTCATACTCGTGAGTAACTTCCACCGATCACTAATTGTAACTTTTTTTTAACATAACAGAATTTTGCGTTTATGTAAACTCTACACAAAAAAATCGGTTTTACTTAAGTATCTAACAATTTTAATTACATATAGATCGTGGCAAGTTTCAATTTTAATTTAACCAAATACAGATCTAAAAATAATTATGTTGAACCATCAAAATAATTACGTAGGCTGTAGAATACTTAAGTATAATGATAATACTACAAAAAATTTTAACATTCCAACAAGCCGTTTGCATCCAATATAATTATATAGATGGCCCAATAAAATTATTTTCAAATTTATATCTACTTAAATTTTTAGATACTGCAGCAAAATCGTTCTTTACATGTAACTTCCGCAATCCGAATCTTATCTCGCAACTCTAAATGTGAACGCGTTATTGCCTTGGTTGATACATTATTAATTTTAGTTTTTTCTTGTTACGCTATAAGGTGCCTTTTATAAGTGTAGAACATTCCTTGTGTGTGTCTGAAGTAAATAAATTAACTCAATGACACAATAATTATTGTGTGGTTGTGGAGCTATAATTATTTATAAACTTCATAAGCTGTGTGCTTATTTTTGAGGAGAATGTATACTAGTCGATTCCTATAAGAGGAGGGATAATTGGTGATCGATTGCCATTACAGAGCTCACAGGTAGTGCTAACAATGTGATCATACGCGACAATTATTTAATAACATATTTTGAAAGACATTGCGTCAATTAGCTACATACTATAAGCAGACAACATAATAGGAGTTTATGGTATATTCATTATACCGGACGTCGATTATAGATTTCAAAATTTTAATGACTCTTGGACCACACGAAGGTAAACCGCGTTTATGACGAAATATTGAACAACTGTGTTCGAAGAGCAATTAATAAGTAAAAGTTAAATTGAACATAATATCGTTAGACAATTGTGTCAGAAACAAATCTAACTATAATTATAACTTATTTAGAAATCGCAAGTATAATTTATTTAGAAACTAAAAGAATTCAACTCCGGCGTGTATATGTGTGCGCAATCGCGCAAATGATTGCGTCGTTTCTGACGTACATAAGTTGTTCATATCTCTATTTCATTATCTACGAGAAAATTAATTTCAATATTAGAATGAAAAAAAGAATTAGGAATTTTTTTTTCTTATCAGGAATCACGATATTCACGGTTCACAGCGTGAATTTGCGAATCTTGTACTACAAATCATATAAATAATTCAAATAAATGAAAAACTTATAATACTGCACGTGACGTAATTCCGATTGCGATCCCACGATAAATAATCCAATCTGTCGTCGCAAGCGACTGCATTTGTCGACACGCGATAATTACTACTCGCAAACGGATTCGTTTCTTCAACGGATTTGCCAAGTGAAATTTACATTGTGGTTTCTTATATAAAATTACGAGATTAATTAAAACGACGACGGAAACGCGTGACAAAGAACGCGACACAAATCACGAAACTGCGAGTCTTAAAAAAGAATAAAGAAGTATCAAAACATTGCTTAAAGGGAAGTTTCACAACTGTCTGGAACCGATTTGATTCTCCATGAAATATATTGTAAAACACGAAAATCTAAGAGACACGTATTTTTTTATACATGAAACACCCCTTAAATATGAGTTAGCGCACGTATAAAAAAATACGTGTCTCTTAGATTTTCGTGTTTTACAATATATTTCATGGAGAATCAAATCGGCTCCGGATAATTGTGAAACTTCCCTTTTTAGTTGGATAATAATCATTGATAAAAGATGTATGAGTACTCAACGCTACATAACGAATCGTATTAAAAATCCATTTGGAATTAGTAAAAAGGATCGTAAATGATAAATGAGGCATGGTGTGAAATATCAAATTTGAAACCGTACGTAAGAATAAGTAACTACACATACGATGAAATTTCACAAAACCTTCTTAAAACTCGATAATGGAAGGAGACATTAGTCTGTCATAATATTTACAAGTTTATGGCATAATACTTTATTAAGGTTGAGTGTTGTGGCGCAGCATAAGACCACGTTACCTCGGTTGCGGTTATTGATTAAAATCTCATATAACGACGATCAGAAAATTTAAATCTTTACAGTAGCCAGTCACGTGTTCGGCCGAAAGTTAAACAAGCGTAGCGCCGCGACGCGTCGCGTTGTTTCAGATATAAACTGGGCCATTACGCAACCCGAGCCGTCGGAATCGGTGGAAAGTAAAAATGTAAGCGACTTTCTCTATGAAATAGCGCGTCCATTTACCAGCTGCAAACTTATGCAAGAGCCGATCCTGGCACGCAAGATCGCCGGAGGCGACAACTGGCCACGGCTACTACCGTCGAAATCGCACGCTTTGTGTTACGCTTTGTGGACGACTGCCCTATATTTAATTTATCACAAAGGATCTTTCGTGCTTAACGACCAAGACTTTAGCTGCGAAAGTACACAAATCTCCTCTATCTTTCCTTATTTTTTATATCGACATGTATCTCACTATATAAAAACTACAATTTCGAAAAAGATGAATGGATATGTATAGATTAGAGTTGTTATGCGTGAATTTTGAAAGTTGTCCAATTTCAGTAATATAGAAAGTTTATTTTATAGCCTAATTTACATTTTGTAAATTGCGAAAGATTGCTGAATCAATTTAAAGTGACAAACATCATAGAGAAAGAAGATGAGAAAGGATTGACATTTATCACTCGCAATATATTTCATACGTTGCCGAGCGAACTGCGCTTTCACTTTGTGATTTAATCAATTTTAAACCCGTAAAACACGAAATCAGTGGGCATTGTCCAGCTAGGAGATTATTCATCTCGCACTTATTGAACGGTGCTTAGCCTTTGGACAGTGTGTGATAGATGATCTAAATCAGTGATGCGCAACTTGTAGCCTGTCTATGAAATTTTTTTTGCGGTTTGCTAGCTCATAGCTGAAAATATAAAATCTCTACTGTTTATTTTATACAAAAAAATAAACATTATGCAGCCCGCAAAATTTTATTTGTTTCTGAGTAGTCATCATGTGACTTTGCCTAGGGCGAAAAACATAAAAAATAAAAAAAATTTCTCCTTCAATGATAACAAATTTCACTTTTCATGCTTTAGAGAATAGGTTATATAATCGCTATCCTGAAAAAATGATTCTCTAAAAATAAATCTCTTTAAAAAGATTGCGTGCATCACTGATCTAAATAGTAATACGATAGGACAGAATCCGTTATCTCACAATCATTAAGACAGGATCTGCTTCGCAATCATTATGACACAATCTAAATTATACTGCAACCGAAGAGTCATGAGCAATATACATATAACATAATCAATCGATAATATAATTTATTAATTGGATAAAATATTAATAGCAGCCTAAAAGCTATACTTAAGCTACCATTAAAATACAAAAGCCGGAACTGAATTATCTTAGATCATGCACCATCACGCAAGGATTTTTTTTATTCCGCGATACAATTCACTATAATTTTTTAAACCAATGATTTTTACGCTCGTAACACTCGGAATTGCCGCGCGAACCGTGGAAAATGATTCACCTTAGATCATATGATCGACGTAACTGCGGCGTTTATTCTTGCTCGGCCATTTGTTACTTCCGTACATCTTACGAATTTTGTAATCAGTTAATAGCAGATAATTATAGGTAGTATCGGAGATAATAATAATTTACGTATACAAAGAATAATAATCTATAATAAGGAATTAAATTTATTAATAACAAAAGTATAATTGTTGATGTAGGTATGAAGTTGTTTTCTATATTAGTATTTAGATATGGAAAACAATTATAAAAATATTTAAAAAAGAGAAGATAGTATTAATTAATTCATTTAAGCTGACACATTATTAATATTCTTAACTTAATAGAAACTTTTTGTTTAAATTAATTTAAAACATTGAATTAAATAACTCTAATTGTATTTATGAACATTTTAATTTTAATACACGGAGATCACATTAAACAACAAATGTAAATTATCCTCACTTTTTTAATATTATTAACTTAATAGAAACTTTCGTTTGAATTATGTAATCTAAAGATATTGAATTAAATAAGTCTAATTGTATTTATGAATATTCTATCTTAATACACAGAGCATGGAGATTATATTAACAATAAATGCAAATTATCTTTGCTTTTTCCTTTGAAACAAAATGATGAAAGGTGTTTGTAGAACAAAAAGAGATTAAATGACATTTAGATATAGACCTAAGGATAAACGAAATTGCGTTGAAATCAATCGATTTCGGTAATAAGATATGGCGTGTAACAAAGAAAATATAAAAAGAATAATATACGTATATATATGTATAAATTAATGACGGTGGGAGTGCGTAAACGTAAATAACTTTGCAAAAATTCTAGATAGCAGATATACCGGTTTTGCGTGTGTTACAGTCGCAGGCTGAAAAATTACCACTTAAATTATATGTAATACTATATTATGTCTGTAAAGAAATATAGCATAATGTGTGTAAATTAGAACTTCACGCCGATCGACTGTGCAACGACAGTCGTTGGGTAAAGAGCGCAAAGAGAAAGGAAAGTGATCCTGAAACACTTTTGTGTGACAATTCTTTTTTTGCGTCGTTTTCATGTCAATCATAACTGTTTTATTATGCCACAATTTGCGGATTATTAAATTCTGTTGTACTAACATCTGAAGTGTTTTACCTCACAAGGAGCGTCCATCGCACTATCCGGTTTGAAAGCGGTTTACGCTTCGTACGCAACACGGAATTCCTCGATTCGTTACTCTTCTGCGCATCTTGATTTTGTGCAATTACATGAGTAGAAGACGCGAGTAACACGAAGCAGTTTTACGTTTGCAAAACATGCGTAGCGCTTGTGGTTTTTTATCTCTTCCTCTTGAATTGGCTCTTAAGTTTTCTCTATAAATTTAGCTCGTGTATTAACATTAAGTAATATAATTTAAGAAAAAATTTGGAAAATTGCAATGTGTAGAAAAAATAAATTATTTAACAAATGTTTAAATACTGCCTCGTCCTAAAAATAAGTGTCGAACGTACAGTGAGAGCAAAAAATATTTTTGCGCAGATATTTTTTTAAATTTTAATTTTAGAAAGTAAATATTAATTAACAATTTATTAATAGAGAATAAAATAGATCGTATACTAATAAAATAGATTGATATTTCTCAGAATTATTTTTCCTAAAAAAATCTAATAATTAGAATGTATTATTTTGATAATAAACGAAAATGGAAAATGACATTACAATAGAACTTCGTTTATTCAAACATATCAAAAGACAGATAACTAAATTATTCAGATAATAGAGGCTCAATACCTCTCCCTTCGAGACAAACTGACTTTACTGATCCTGTTGTTTTGAACCGACCGAGACACTACCGTACAGATCGCAGCGCTTGTTGATCATGTATTATTTTTATTACGCGAAAACGCATCGACTGAAAGTATTTTTATCAATTTAATCACAATTGCATTTATTCAACTCCTCCACGATCGTAAACGCGTGACCGTAAACTTCACTTATATAATCTCTGCAAAGTGTAGACTATGTAAAATGTGCAGAACCGTCACAGCGCTTGCAACGCTCACTGACCATGGCTGTGGTCTAAATAGTCTTATCTTTATGCTTAATCTTATCTTTATGCACAGAATTTACATCCATCATATGGCAGCCCTACATTTAGAGACGAGAGACTCCATCCAATCAGAGAAATACTTACGATCACGTGACACTTTGCGCATCTCTGTTATACTATAGGTTCTCTAGTTCTGCCCTTATTGAGATTTGATAATCTCGGTCTCCCGCAATTCGCCGGCTCGCGTAAAGTAGCCATGGCAGTGTCGCTATGCTTGTTTAGTGCCGAGATATTACCGTGTCTCCATGGCTATGTTCCAAAATTGACTGCCTATACTGAAAATCTATAGTGCACGTAACGTAAACTGTCGCATTTTCAGTGCTGACAATAAATTTGGAACACAGTCTAGATAAGATACATATATAAGAATACTTTTTATATTTACTGTAATAGTCGGCAGAAGATCGTCAAATCGGATCATATGCGAATACTTAAATATTTGACTAAAATTGATCAATTTGCTTTTATTTGCAGCGTCTGGCAGCCACAAGCGAGCGTTTCGTCAACTTCAAGGCGCGACTGATTACTTCCATCATTTAAGAACTCATTCGAGGACTGAGATGAGGAAGCACAAGAGGAGCTCCGCCGGCGTTGGTACCACCACGTAGAGGCACCATCGCCGAGCCACTTTTGCCAGTAGGAACACGGGTACGACGTTGGCAACAGAACCAATCTTACGGTGTTGCCCCCTTGTCCCTTGATCCTGAACTCAATTTCTTCGTCGATGGCCGTCGAGCTTTTCGCGAAACACAAGACACTTCGCCGCCAAACGCATTCCCCCAAAGCAATCGACTCGATTCCGTTCAACTTCATTTACTCCCTTGTCTAATTCTTTTTTATTTCCATTCCACTTTCTGCGTTCCTCCCCCTTCCTCCCTTTTCTATTTCTCTTCCTGCATTTTTATTATTTCCGCCCTTTAGTTAATTAGAATAACAATAATGAATAAAGAAATTTCCGTAATCGACCGTCGTTTTAGGACGATCGAAAATTAATCGTTACGGCGTAGCTCGTGCCGCCATAGTACGATGGAAGCATATCGAGAGAGCCGGTGAAACTGTAAAATCGTTTTAAATTTGTGATACGACACGCTCTCCATTCAGTTCAAATGAATAAATGATTCATGCACCAACAGCCACGAATCGAAAATTTCTCTGCGCGCTCTCTTGAGTAGCAGAAAGTCATCCCTTAACTAAAAATATTTCAATTCGCGCTTACGAAGTAAGAATAAATAATCTATTTTTTTATTTAAAAGGTATATGATACGAAAAGCTTATGGTTTTCTAACAGGGATAAGATGCGTACTGTTAAAAGAATCGAAGAACAAAGTCAAACATTTTTTCTTCGATTGTTCACCCACGAACAATACTTTTTGATTGTAGACCCTATAAGTATGAACTGGCAATAGAAGCAAGATCATGTTCGTGCTTCTCTTTGTAAAAGTATACGGAAGTCCGGAAGTATATTTTGCGCATGTTTGATATATAATACATTAGATATGTTTCATTGAGATTATCTCTTTCTATACGATTTTAGAAAGTTTTGTCTTGCGTATTTTTTAATTACCTATACATTTTCAAAAAGAACTTTATTTCGTGTTTGCTTTGCTACAATATATTATTTTCAATTCTGATATAGTGCTAACGCGCCATATGTTTAACATGCGCAATGTATATTTCCGAATGCTTTGAAAAAGAGAAACACTTGAAAAGTATACATATATATATATATATTCCTCCGGACACTGTTTCTTATTGTTAGCAGAAACTATAGGTAATTACCAGTCCATACTTGTAAAGTCTGTGGTTAAATGATCATCGGCAAGCACGAGACAAACAAGATGCTTAATTGTACATAGCTCATTCCTGAATACAATAGTGCCAGGCATTGTTTCTATCTATTTGTGTTTCTCTCTCTCTCTCTCTCTCTTATTTTTTTCCCTAATAGCACACTTTATTCAAGGGACGTTCTGGCGAACATTCTTAGGACATAGGGATATCCTTTGAATGTTTTTTGGAGATCGTCCCTTGGAGATCTATGTCATTAGGGTTCTTATCCAATTATCTTTCATACCTATATATCTCTCTCCTTCCTGTGAAAATTGACGTTAAACTTGTGAAATTTAGACAATTTAAGTATATGCTAAACACCGCTAATTAAAGGTAAAATGAAATTAAAATTTACCTTGATATGTACTTCAATTGGTACAGTTTGTGGTAGTCTATCACCGCAGTGAACTATTGGAGAAAAAGATTTTCTCTTCTTGGATTTTTTCGAATTGAGAAAATCCAATAAGCGATACGATTTCACAAACGTAATGTCGTCAGCATGTTAAACGCGGCGTTTCACGTCCTTGTACCGAGCGTATTTCTTTATGTAAAGCATCCCTGTTGTTTTTGTAGTGCAAATAAATATTATAATAAGAAGCCAGTCGTGTGTCTTTTATTTTATTTTATACATTAAATATATATAGTGTGCCTAAAATTGACGATAAATATTATAAAGACAGATTCTTTGTAACATTTTAAGACGAAAAGTCTACGAAAATGTCAAGGCTATGAAAGTTTTCAATTGGGAAAAGTTTAAAAATTACAAATAACAGAGCTAGATTTTCGTACGCTCAGGGCAAAATGACCAATATAAATGAGGGTGCCGTCCCATTAGCTCAATTTTTATTTATTGATAGAAAAATAACAAAGAACAAAGTTTGATATAAATTGTTATTATAGATTCATATTTTTACAACTTTGGCTTTTAAGTTTCCATACTAATTTTTATACAATAAAATAATATATAAATATAGTTTTAAAGGATCGGGAAAAAATCCAATTTTTCCAATTCTACTGCAAATCTTTTCGGTTTTTTTTTTCCAAAGAAAAATTCATTTTAGAAAAATTCACGCGTGCTCATAAAACCTACCACGTTTGCTTCTCGGTTCTCTCCATAAAGAAAATAATTGCGTATAGCGTTCTGTTTAAATATGTTTTTCAATTTATTGCAGATGATAGATTTTAGAAACATTTCTTTTAAAACATTTCATATGACATTTTGCAGAATCCTTTCAGAATTGTTGCACATGAGACGCGAAAGGTTGAAACATTTCTGAAAGCAATAATCGGTGCTGTATGGGGTATTTCGAAAATTTGATGTGCTAGTGAAATTTAACTTCTGGCATCCAAAAATCTACGACCAAGAAATACCTACTACTAAAAAATCACTTTGTCTGATTAAAAAAAACACTTTTTTGTAAATTAGCGTTATCTTTATTCACAATTTATGGATGCAACAGCAAAACAATTTATCAACACCGCGATTTTATCAACAATGTCAAAAATGTGATACGTAGTTCACATCAATTTATAAAATTGATGTTGGTGCCGCTAGTGTACGGTGGCTTTTAAGGGATGCTGGATCGACGAACTTGATCCAGATCGATAGTACAGACTTTTTTTAATTCCAAATTCGATAATAGTGACATCTTTCATTTATTTCTTATATTTATTATATATCGTTGTGTCACAACCAATACTGCACAAACAATACTGAGTTTATGAAACTAATTGTAAGATTAAAAGCTTCAAAAGAAAGATTTATATTGATCTGCAAATGACGTGTATACGAACGCTGAGCGAAGATTCGGAATGTAAACAAGGAAGATAAACAAAGCAGTAGGTGTTCGATTTTTTTTTAAAAATAGCGTTGCAATATGTTAGATAAAGAAAGATGAATGCGTTTGAGCAAGATACAATGATATATAATAAGTATAAGAAATGAATGAAAGATGTCACTACTACCGAATTTGGAATAGTTTTATCGGTAATACAGACAATTCCAGCATCCCCTTAAGGGGATCTGTATTACCGACTAAATCGTAATTTTTTGTATAACAAATACTTTTTTCTCTTTCACAGATTCGAAAATCCTTTTCCAGGATTAAAGTATACACATTAATACGTGTTTATGAGGTGGAGTTTATGCCGAGAACGATAAAAAATTTTTCTTAAGATTTTTCAATTTCGAAATTTTTTGTCGTTTTTGGTATAAATTTCACCTCACAAACACGTATTAATTTGTATACTTTAATCCTGGAAAAGGATTTTCGAATCTGTGAAAGAGAAAAAACGTATTTGTTATACAAAAATTATGATTTAATCGGTAATACTTTATCGTTCATTAGATATCAAACAGAATAGGAGCGCTAAAAGCGTTCAAACCGAATTCATGTTTACATCAAAAACTATAAGGTCTATGAGTTGATTGGCTATCTGTTCGCGAATTTCGAACCGATTTTTAGCGTGGATAATGTAGAGACAGAGGTTGATTTTAAGAATTAATTATACACATGATGTAGAGATGGCGCCACATGCGGTATAACAAGTATAAAACTAAGTAGGGTAGAGCGGGGCTATATGAGCATAGGGGCACATTGGTCAACGTTAAATATATCGGTAACCGAGGCGTGTACAAACACGTTACTCTTGCATCAGACAAGCACGGAGATGCAGATTACTGCGCTGAGTACGCCCGTCTTCGCTCGACCGTCAGTCGAAAGATATAACAGCTTTTTTAGTTTTGTGTAGTGAAAGTAAAGTCATTACGTAAGTATTCTTTTTGGTCTACGTAATAATTGAAACATTTAAAAGAAACCAAATATACTCTTTTATTACAAGTTATTAGTATACTTTGTAATTTCAACATGAAAGTTGTTATTTGATTTACAGTTTTGTTGTTATAAAATCATATTTGAGCCGACATCGGTATGGGACTAGTTGGGTCAAGTGACCCAACTAACCCCGCTTATACATTGAAATCTATTCTTTCGGTAATTGTTAAGTTTAGCTTCCTTACCTCTGATGTTGATAAAATTAAGCTCATTCGACGCATTTTTGCACGAAATAAATGAATCTGGTAAAAAAACTGTTATTCTGACCCACGGACCGAGACATTAATCGTTAAAGTTGACGATAGGTTAGGAAATCTGTTACATCAATGAATGGCAGAAAGAGACACGAAAACGTGTAAGTGAAAAGCTAAAATAAATATTTTCTGCTTCCATTACACAAATTCTCTACTGCAGAAAAAAAATTATATATAAAATAATTTGTTTTTAAAGCAGAAAATGTGTATTTTTAAAGCAGAGAATTTGTATTTTTAAAACAGAGAATTTGTATTTTTAAAGTAGAGAATTTGTTTCTAAAGTAGAGAATTTGTTTCTAAAGTAGAGAATTTGTTTATAAAACAGAATTTGTATAACCTTTTGTATAACCATCGATATGACAGGTTTTATAACCTGAATATCTGTCAACTTTAACGATTAATATCTTGGTTCGCGGGACACTCTTTTTTGCCAGATTCATTCATTTCGTGCAAAAACGCATTGAATAAACCTAATTTTATTAACAACCTTACTTCATACCTAAATACACACCTTAATTACCTTCATGGCTCAACTTGCCCTTCAGAGTTGCCCAATATACCCCATTGGTGGGGCATATTGATCCACTTTGCATCCTTGCAATTAACGTAATTTCTTTCTAATTTACGAGATATATTAAGGGTTTATAAGTACTTAATTGTTGAGGTAGATAAACATGCAACGTTTTAAAGCATTTACCATTAGTCTATCATAATTGTGTGAAGATTTATAATAATTTAAAGAAAAAGTGGCTCAACTATCCCCGCCCTACCCTAATAAACGATTGTAAAATGGCTACTTATGTACCTGTTACTGGCCAATAAACGAAATTATCTATCTAAAACTAAATAATGTATTATATTGTATAATAGAATAAGATAAAAAATCTTGTGTATAATACATGCCCAACCCTGGTTCCAACTATTCACTGCGAGTACTAAAAATCTATATTTCACATTACGTATACTCTAAGGTTTATTCGCGTCTCATGTTCTAATATGCGCCTTCCATATAGCTGCTCACTCCAACAAGCACGTTAACTTCACACTAAAGATGAGACAATAAAAGGATCGAAATGTCTATAATTTTTAACTTCAAATACATGAATTTTACACACGACCAACCTGTGTTGGCTCACTTTGGCTTCCACTTTGGATATCCATTCTATGATTTAATCTTCGGAGCCTTATATTAAGAAGATTTATTGTTATATTTTCTATAATTAAGAATAAAAGTTTCATTATTTAATTTTAATTTGTGGTGGTAAATCTAGAATTCCTAAAGAATCTATCCATATATACAAAATGGCGTATATAAATGTAGAATATAAGTTCGAAATGTATGTATTTGGCGTGAATGTATATATATACACTATAATTGGCAGCGCTAATGTGTATGCAAGCTAATTTGAGCTAATCAAAAAGAGTCTAAGGCTGGTATTCATAGCTCGTTCTTATTTCAATATCTGAGATGTCCTTAAAAATCGACTATGAATACCAGCTTTAATTTCAATTTATAGTCTCGTATAAATCTATTAGATTGCGCTACCTATTTTTTCCGCAATTTTATGTGCGTTTTCTTTTGAGCAACAAACAAAAATGCGGGAAAAAAGTGTAAGTATACGTTTCATTTGATATATCGCACGTTAATTATATTTCAATGAGTGTAGCCCAATAATATTCACATTTATGTTCGTCGTATGTGTTCGATTTGTGTTAGCACACTCGAGAGCATATTCCGTAATCAGTTAATTAGCGTCGAACGGACTAGGATGATTGTCGTTTCGTTATCCCTAATTAAGGGGACATTCAGGCATGTATGATTTATCAATAGATTTATTGTATGGTGACAAAGATTAATATCAGGAGAGATAATAAATTAATTAATTAATTAATCCGTCGCATTAATTAACACCGTGAAATTTAGGCAATTCTTAGACGGCTTTTACGAGCTGGAACAATTCGCGCCTGATTGCCTATCTATAATGTCATGTAATCGCCATATTGGCTTTTCAATTCTTTAGTCGTTTGGTTGCAACGGCAGAGAGAACGTCGGGGTCAACGTGCACTCCCGTGCATCGATCTTTTTCGATGAGTCTGCACAAGCTTCAGTAATGTATTCAAGTGCATGCAGATTTCATGAGTAATTAGCATAATTAGTAATTGGTATCGTCGTTTCGTTATTAGTTAAGGGGATCCTAAAGCGAAGCTCGAACTCCGACAAAGTCACTACATGTCGCTGTTTTTCCAGCGCATCGACATATATATCTTTATATACTACCATACCAATATCTCACGCAACCCATGATACATTCAATCGCACATTCGTGTCAATTTTCGTGTAACAAATTCGTCGCAATAAAGCGTCTAAGTCTAATTCTAAGAACTCGACGTTATTTGTTCGTGCAAACTATTTGTGGATTACTATTTCGTAAGTATAGGTTGCAACACTATCGTACCAAGCAAATGTTGTCACGACTTGACAGCTTGAGACACCATGTTACACTAAGGAAT